GAACCCTCCCAGATCCTTCCTGGACACCACTGGGCTGGACTCTGCCTAGCCCACACTCCTGGGGTCCCAGCTGCTGTCTACAGGGGCTGCATCAGACCCAGGTCGAGGCCTCATTACCAGCTGGCAGTGCTAATGAGGCAGCTCTCTCACCCTGGGCAGGGCTAGGTGGCGTCCCTGTAGTGCCCATGAGCCAGGGCAGGTACCTGCCATTGATGCGGGGGTTATAAACCTCGACCTTATCATAAGTGAATTCGCGGATGTTCTCCTTGTAGGCTCCCCCGCCGATGATCTTCAGTGTGTAGCTGCATGGAGGAAGCGTGGCCATGAAAGCTAGGCCAGGCTGGGGCTCAGCTTGGCCAGGGAGGTGGACAAGGGATCGGGGCAGGCCCTCACTTGCCATGGAAGAGCCCTGACTCGCCAGTCACCATGTCCTGAATCAAGAAGAAGGGGTAAAAGACTGCGAGGAAGAGAAAGTGGACGTCAGACCTCTGTGCAGAGCCCCGGAGCTAGGGGTCAGGGGCTGCTCCCAGGATGGGGGCCGGCAGGAGGGAGACCCCGGAGGTTCTGGGGCTGTGGTGGGAGTCCGCTCTTACTGTCGTCGAAGAAGAAGCAAGGCATGTCAGGGTTGATGGAGATGCAGTCGTAATACCGGTTGTTCTTCTTGGCGCTGTAGCGCAGGGTGCGGGTGATGTCGAATGCTAGCCGCTTGCCCGGCGGGCAGCCGATGTAGATGGGAACAACCTCATAGCCCTGCAAGAGGCCGGGATGCAGGGTGGGGGTGAGACCGGAGGCTGAGGGGGACCCATCTCCACCCCCCCCCCAGGTTCTGCATGGGCTTGGCATGGATCCGCGCAGTACTGGAGATGTAGCAGTAGACCCATCGCTGCCAAAAAATGCCCCACCGTGACGGCTTGGTACCTGCATCTGCAGACCGGTTCCTGTGTAACGGTGGCAGTTCAGTGCCGAGTTCATGACCTGCGTGGTTGGAAGCACAGCCAAGGGGGCTTCTTGAGATGGCCCCACATCTTCAGCTGCCATTGCAGGTGGGGAAAGCACCTTCCCCTTGACTCTGGGGCAGGGGAGGACCCACCACTGGGGCAGCCGGTGGGAGCCTCCGGGTCTGGCGTGGGTGCCCGTATCCTCACGCTGAGGCCCTCACTTACCTTCAGCGTCATGGAGCTGGTGAGTGCTTTCAGGCCACTGAGCTCCTGCCTCGGGTAGTGGCCCCTGTCCCTGATGGTCACCTGGAAGACAGAAGCCACCGTGAGCTGTGCAGGAAGGGCTGGTCCATGGGGACAGGCTGGCATCTTCTCTCTTGGAGCATGACAGGGTCTGAGATAGAGGGGATGGGAGCCATGTAGGGGAGCCCCCTTGGCTAGCAGCTGTCCGGGATCCATGGCCTCTCTGCTCCCGGCCACGATAGCCCAGGGTAGGGCAATGGGGCTATTCCCTGCCCTGCCCTGCCCTGCCCTCCCTTGAGCCCTGGGTGTGTGAAGAGCCTGGAGGACTCAGCAGTGGGGATTTCAGGCTTCCTCTAGTGTGTGGGGCTGAGACGCGGGGCCCGGGGCAGCGAGGGTCCCTCGGAGGGGAGCCAGGCACAGGGCCGTGGTGTCGACCTCACCTTGTAGAGCAAAGAGCCGCGGTTCATGAGCTCCTGGCGCTGCAGGGTGGAGGCCACGTGGGCAGGGTGGGCCAGTACCACGGTGAGCCACACATACTCCAGAGACTTCTCCTCCAGCCTCTGAACTGCGGCAAGGATGGGAGAGCCTCTCGAACCCGCGCCTGGCCGCCCCTTGTCCCACAGAGGCTTTGCAGATGGGGGAGCTGGAAAGGGTAGGAGGGGAGTGGAATCGGGGCAGCAGGGCATCTCCATCCAGCACAAGGTGTGGGTTCAAGGTTCACCAGGACGGGTCACTGGGGGAATGTGGCAGGGACCGAGAGCCCGGACGCCAGGCTTGTTTCCCAGCTTGGGGAGGGGGTGTGAAGTCCAATGGTTAGAGCACAGAGGGGTGGGCTACCGGGACGCTTGGGTTCTCTCCCCTGCTCCGGGAGGGGGAGTAAAGTCTGGTGGCAAGAGTTGGGGAGGGGGACTGGGAGCTCGGCCACCCCTCAAAGACTTGGCCCATTGGGTCCTGCTGCCCTTCCCCGGCCCCAGCCCCAGCCTCTCACAGCCATCCTCGGTGGTGGTGATGCTGAGGAAGACGGAGAAGCTGTACTCGTTGTACTTGTCCAGGTAGATCTTCTCGGGCAGCTCGTTGTTGGGCATCAGGTCGTAGCTCTTTGTGTAGCTGCTCATCTTCACGTAGACGCCGCCCGAGGAGTTCCTGTTGCTCGCCACGTAGAAGTAGTAATCCTAGGTGGGAAGAAGGCGGGTGGGCTGGGCCAGGCCAAGCCGGGGCATGGGGGGGGCCTTGTGTGGCACAGGCGTATTCTTGGGCCTGCTTCTCCCACTTGGGCGTGACTGATTTCTGCTGGAGGCAGGGGCTGAGCGTGATGCCCTGGCTCAGGGGGTAGAGTCCCACCACCCCTCTGCAGGGGTGGGGAAACTGAGGCGCAGAGGGAAGGGATAGGGGCTGTGAGGGACCTTGGGTGTTTGTGACACCCGCAGCTGGGGTCTCTCTGTACCTCATACTGCTGCTTGTTCTTCCACCAGCGCCACATCGGGTCATGGACCGGGTCAGCGTAAGGCTGCAAGAGCCACAGGGGATTGGATGGGGCAGGGATGTCTCGTGTCCCCACCCAAGCTGGTCTTGACCCAGCCCCGGTACGGTCTGGGTTGGAGGCTGACCATCAGCTGATTGTTGGCACCAGCTTTGAACTTGCCAGTGCCGGGGGTAGCCCGGGATCACGAGCCACCCTGGTAGGTAGAAAGGGCATGACCGGGATCTGATCTCTGATCCCACTGCTCCATTAAAGCACTGTGTGCTGGGGGCTTTCGCATCAGCACCTCTCAGGCTGAGACGGGCGAAGGAGATGGGCTTTCTTCCCTCCCGACAGTGATGCCAAGCAGCAGGTTTGGGGGCCTAGCCCCAGGCACCTAATTCCCTTCCTTCTGGGCAGTGGGAGCCTGGGCTCACCCGGTTGTAGTCGGTGTGAAGCCACAGGAGCTCGAAAACGAGGCCCTGGTAGACGCTCAGGGAGAAGTTGTTGTGGAAGCCAGTCTCGTCCATGACATCGGGCGGCAAAATACGGTAGTGCTCCATGCGTGTGAAGCGCTGCGGCGCTGGCAGCTCGTGCATGCGCATGCTGGCGAAGAGGCACGTGTCGGGGAAGCTGATGTAGTCTAATTGCCTGGTGGGGGAGAGGGGAGCAAGAGGGGTGTCATGCTAGGGGCATCAAGTCCCCACTTTGCTAGGTGAGCTCCTCGGGAGCATGGGGAGGGTCCAAGGGCGGCACTGATGTCGGGGGCGGGGTTCGCAGTATAGAGCATGTGTCTCCATGTGGGGTGTCTGTGTGGCTGGGTGTGTAGCCTGGGGGGTGCCTAGGTGGTTGTGTGTGGACAGAGTACATGGGAGAGCCATGTGTGTGAGAGTAGGTGCAGGGGGGGAATCACCCCCTCCTCTGCAGCATGGACTCAGCCTGGCTCTGTGCCCCACTTGCGGCTGGGGGGAAGGGGCGATGCTGGGCTGAGGTCCAAAGGGGCCCCGATGCTGCCTGAGCTTTCCAGGGGGGTCTGCTGTTTGCCCACGTGAGGCCTGGCAGCAGAATTGGGACCCCGTCCTGCCCTGTCCACCTGTGGGGTGGACAGAGGGGCAGCTTCCATATGCCCTGGTAATGGCAGACCCTGGCTTGGGCACCTCCCACCACTCACCTGACAATGACCCAGTAGTGCTGTTGCTCACTGAGATACAGGGTGGGCAGGAGAGTGGAGAGAGGGAACTTCCTCTGGACCAGCCTGCCCGTGCCATCTGGGTCCACGATGTACACCAGCTGTGGGGGAGAAAAGGCAGCTCAGAGTGGCAGGGTGGCACCAGTGCCCCATGACCTGGATCTCTTTGCCCCCCACCACCCCAGGCCTCAGCCTCCCCATCACCTGATGCAGCCCATCCTTGTTGAAGAAGAGGCTGATGAAGGACTCGTTCAAGCCAAAGTCCCTGGAGCCCATCAGGAGCTGCATTGTGAAGTAGGAGCTCCAAGCTTGTGAGGGATATACCCGTCTGATGACTGAGCTGCCTTCCAGTGAGAACCAGATCTACGGGGACAGCCCCCGTCTCTCAGATCAGCTGGCCCTTGAGGAGCTCCCACTAGCCCAGGTAAGCCCCAACCCTCCTCTTCCACCCGCCCCCAAAAGAATTGGGGACCTAGTTGTTCCCATTTCACAGATGGGGAAACTGAGGGACGAGTCAATTTGGCTGCCCTCAGCCAGGGCTGGGCCTGGAACCCAGGTGTCCTGGGGTGAGGCTGCATCCCATCCGGCCGCCATACCTCCTCTGATTCAGTCACCCAGACCAAGTCGCCTCGGTAGGACTGCACAAAGTACTTGATGGGCGACTGGGACGGGAACTCGGAGAGGTAGATGTAGTTCATTGCGTCATAGCTGCAAGAAGCACAGGGTGACATGCCTGGCAGGGCTGCCCCAGGGCCTCGTTCTGCCAAGCCTGCACAGCTCCCCACTCCCATGGATCAGGGCCTCGGTGTTTCCCAGCTGCCGGCTGCCCCCTCCAAGCCTGGGGATGGGGAAGGATGCTAGGCTGGGGCACCCATGGCACTCACCTCTGCAGGATGACATTGCCCCAGATGTAGAAGATGGTGCTGAACGGGCTGTAGGACAGGCCGCGGGGCACCAGCGGGGTGGTCGTGTACTCCTCCAGCCCCACCAGCATCACGAAGCCCTGGTTGGTGTCTGTGGGGGGAGGAGATGGGGCATGGGCAGCTTGTTGGGGTTGGTGGGGGACAAGGTGGGGGTGGGTGAGAGTGAGAGCTCCCCACACACAGATGGACATACCTTTGGGCACGAAGGGAGGCACGTGGTACAGCAGCTTGAACGTAGCGGTACCTGCTCCGACGAAGGCAGAGACGTGGGTGTGAGCACGGACCCCGCTCCCAGCCACCCCACTTCCCTTCCCCCTGATCAGGGCTCCCAGGGTCCTGGCCTGGGATGTCCATATCCACGCAACGCCCCCATGGCTGGGACGGCTGTTCCCTGCCAGACAACAGGTGGGGAAACCGAGGCAAGGGGCAGCTATGTGACCTCTCCAAGCCCGGGCAAGCCCAGGGTATGACTCTAAACATAACATCTCTCTTCCTGCTGTTGGGGGATGGGAGGGGGCTTTGTCTCCCCAAATCCTGACCCACAGCAGCCCAGGAGGCTCCAATGTTGGGGCAGAGAAGTTCCAGCTGTCTCAGAGTGGTGGCTGGGAGCTGGCCCGCGCCCCACAGCCCCACGCCCTGCTTACTTGTGCTGTAGGACACGATGGAGTAATTGGACTGGTTGCTCTCAGTCTCCTGCACCAGCAGGGTCAAGCAGGAATCCTCAGTTTGGTAGATGGCCCAGATGACACGGCAAGAAGCTGTGAAAGGGAACTGAGCTGGGGGCGTGGAACCGCTGGCTCAGGCCCCAAGCTTCCCAACAGCAGTGAGCTGGGGGAGACACTGGGAGGCTGCTCCTTGGGGCACCCTGGCTCCAGAGAGGATGTGTCTGCTGGTGTCTGGGTGACCCCGGCGTGCTGGGCCTTGGGCCTGGATTCCCGCCCCTGTGCCCAAAGGCAAGTCAGCGGCAGAGCTGAAAACACAGCCAGGACCCCCGGCCAGCTCCCTGTGGAAAGTGCTAGCCCCTCACTCCCTGCCCCGAGCTGGGGAGAAAACCCAGGAGTCAGGGCTGCCAGCTCCCCTGGCTCTGACCCACTAGACCCCACTCCCCAACCAGAGTTGGAGAGACAACCCAGGCATCCGGGCTCCCAGCTGCTCTGCTAGAAGTCCCCCCTTTAGGGAACCCTCCGGCCCCGAGGCACTCACTCTTCAGGAAAGTGCAGACGTTCTCTTTCTTGCTGGAAAAGAGGGAGTTGAAGGTGATGAACGTATCTGCGGGAGGAGAGAGGCCGTCACTGGGGGTTCCCATGTGCCAGAGACATGGGCAGGGGCTGGGCAAGGCAAGGTGGAACAGCTTTGAAAGCTGGGACGTGGATGCACTGGGTTCAAGTCATGACGGCTACAGAGCCCAGCTGGGGACTTGGACAGCAGCTGCAGCTGTGGTGAGGCATGGCTGGTGCCTGGGTGCGGGCATGGAGACCTCCAGCCAGCCGGCACAGAGCAATAGGCACCTGGAGGAATGCAGGGCCCCAATTTCCCAGCTCTGGGTGTACCTTGAATGCTGCCGATATAGACCTCGCCCTCATTGCTGCCACCCCCCAGGGCGAGGATGTACTCCCCGTCGTAGGGGAAGGGCACCGGGTTCAGCTTGGCCACGCACACGTTGTTCAGCACCCGGTTCCAGGCAGCTGGGGAGGAGAGAGGTGCCCGCTGTCAGGCCCCTGCACCAGGCATCCCCAGCCAGAGAGCAAGAGCGGGTGGCAAGCACGAAGCCAGGCCTAGTGGGTGACAGCCCCTGTCCTGTGCCTATGATCATTGGCTTGGGAGCAGGGTGATGAGACCTGAATCCTCAAGATTTAGGCTCCCACCAGGCCTTGAGACCATTGCGGGGGTCTCAGAGGAGAAGCCGATGGCAGGGCAGGAGCCTGGGTATGGGTCCCCAGTGCTCAGGGATCTGCATTCCCAAAGCTGCTTGGGAGATGCTGCTGACACGTCAATTGAAGCCGGAGTTACCAGGGACCCCCACAGAGTCCGTGAGCACAGCCCGGGACTCCCCCAGCTCTTACTGGATGCGAATCTTGTATTTTGGAGGACAGCATATCTGCCAATGAAGTAGTAGACCAGCTGGTTCTGGCGGATGAAGAGCACGGACTCCAGGGAGATGGCGTCTGAGATGGTGGAGGAGAACTTCTCCTGGGGGCAGCCCAAGGACCCAATCCAGCAGCTGTCAATGGCCACCTGGGAACGTAGAGATTGAGACTGCAGCCATGGGAAGGCACCAGGTTTGGGCCCTACAGCTGGAGCTGAGCCGTGGACTGGGCAGCTGGACACAGCGTGGCCGGTGCAAAAGCAGCTTGGTGCACCCCAGTCAGGACATCGCCAAGCCTCAGCTGCCCTTGGAGGAGGCCCTGCTGTTTCTCAAGCCACTGGGGAGAGAACCCAGGAGTTCAGGACTCCCAGGCTGCTGTCCTCACTGCATTGCCCTGCCCAGGACAGCCACGGCCTGCTACGGTGTGGGCGTACAACCTCGAGTCTGAGCTCAGCCCCACCGGCTCCAAACTGCGGTGCCTGCCCAGCCGTGCCGTGACCGGGATCGGGCCCACGGTGTCTGCCTCGCTCCCCACAGAGCCCTGCTGGGGCTTTGGCTACCTCGATGGCGGTGAAGTCGGAGAACTCCGTGTTGGACAGCAGGATGACCTTGTGGTCGGGGAAATCCCCGAGCACCCGAACGGGGGCTTTCTCGTACGTGCTCCAGATGGGCCGCGACGGCTGGCCCAGCATCAACATCCTTCCCAAATCAGGCACCTATGACACAGGGGCCGCGGGGTGAGGGGGCAGCTGAGAGAGGCTCCAGAGCAGCCAGGACCCAGCCCCTATTTCAAAGGGGAAACTGAGGCACAGGGCAACTCACTGACTTGCCTCTTCCCCTCCACCACCAACTACTTTCAAATCCTACGCCAGTGCTTTTTGCCCTGAGCACTTCCCAGGTTTTCATCCACTGCCATCCCTGTCTCCCGGGTGGGGAAACTGAGGAACGTACCACTTGCCCGATGGATGACTGCAAGCCTTTGTGGGTGTTCCTCACGTATCCATTGATGTTGATGAAGAACCTGGAGGTAAAAAGCAGGTCTCTCACCTATTGGAGCCAGCCGTAAAACCTCTGCTGGGGCCAGGGACTTCCCCTGGGGTGAGTCTTGGTATGGGAGAGTGGGGCAGCAGTGGGGGTCACCCCCTTCCCCCGCCTTCACCTCTTTTCCTCTATGTCGAGGCCAAGACCGTTGCTTTCCACCAGGATGTC